AGAGACAGCCCTCATAGAGCTCTATAAAAATGAGTTGCACAAGAAAAATTCAGTCTTCCAAATGTTTTCATGAGACACACTAAATCTAAACTATTTTCATTTGTTCAGTTTGCAGAACTTTGTAAAAAGAAAGTGATTTTTATAAAAATATTGTGAAAACATGAAGCTAGTTATTTACATAGTATATCATCTTTATAAAAGCCTTACAGTAGTATATCAAAAGTGAATAAGAATGGTATATCAAAAGTGAATTTAATGTTAGAAAAAAATTAGGTCTAGTTTGGAAAAAAATATCTTTACATTAAGTAAAAAAAGTTTAAAAGTAACGCAACTGCCTTTGCTCCCTTTCTTTCTATTGAAAACAGCAACTGACAGACCATAGAAAAATTATCATCTTTTTGTAAATTTGTAAAATACAGAGATTAATGAGAAGATACAAATGTCTCTATCACTTTTTGTGATAGATACCTGTGTATGCAAAGCAGTTAAAAATCCTGAAACTCTGCAGTAACAATTTCCATCCTTTCAGGGGGATTCCACTGATACAGACTTAACAGTCTGACTGTGTTAGCGTTCAATATACATTTTTTGCTTTTATTAGCTTCAACCATATTTTCCATGTTTTACATTTAAGCAATTTTATGAGGAGGTGTTTTTTGTTCACTTTGATAATGCAAAATCTGAACATTTCTAAATTTTGTAAGAACCTATGGAAGCCACATTGTTAGAAAGAAGCTTGAGCATCACCCACATTAAAATCAGTAAGTTTACTAAGCACCACCACTTGTCTTTTTGGGCAGAGACAGATCATGTTGATTTTATTCCCAGCTCAGGGCCATATTTCTGTCTTGGAAACTTGCTTTCTTAGGTGAAGTCGCTGTATATATTGGTTTTACTCAAGTTTGCGTTACATATTGGCTGAAGATCTAACCCAAATGTGAATTCTTATACATGGTCAGGGTGTCCAGGAATTTGTTGTAAGAACTAATGTAGTCACTGCATATGTATTCTGTGTCTATCCACTCACATGATCTTGGAAAGCATATTTCAAATGCAGTCTATCCATTTAAATTCCATGTGAATATCCAAATTCCATGTAGTTATAATGGCTACAGATCACCTTTTCCAGTTTCAGTCTAAGTATTTTTGATTATGTAGGATTGATAAGAGTAATCAGAATCAAATATACATATCGGCCTGTTCTTGAAATCTCTGCTACTCTGCAGGAGTAGCCACTAAAATAATAATAAACAGTATTAACCTGCATGAATGCACGTATGTTAAAAAGAAAGAAAATACACCCCACCCCACCCCCCCAATAACTATGTAATCAAATGGTTGGTTTAAATATGGACCTTTGTGTTTTTGTTATTTGATACCTCAATATGGCTAAAGAGTTTCTGTAACTATGCAAAATGAAGATTTTTAGATCAATAATTCACAGATGATCTTCAAAGAAAAAAACAAGTTAAAAATATGCTGAATGTGCTTAAACACAAGAGTGACTGTTTACTTCTGGATCAAATGAAAGACATTTTTTTGCAAGCTCTCCTGCACACAGACATCCTGTCTTCCTCATGAGCAGTTTCTTAGATTGTCCTTTTTTTTTTTGGTTCGAGTTTTGCACATATCTGGTGGCCAGAAATCTTGGGAGGAAAAAATATGGTAATACCCAATTTAACTCTTCATTGCAAGCTCCCAAATAAGGTTGACATGATAACTGAAGTGCTAACTTAGATTAGTCTGTTTGGGAAATATATATATTTTTTCATATATGATAACTTAGTTTATGAAGCTTGTTATTAACACTAAAACCAAGTGCTCTTTCTGTTCATAAGCTTTGTAGTCACTGCCCCTGCTTTTAAGATACGTATGTGTGTAGTGACTGGAGGCCGCTTACAGAGAGCATGACCTATTAGTATGTTTAGTAAAAAGGTTGCGCTTCTCTAGATTTAAAGTAACAGATCTAGCAGCGTCTCCAGTCAGCCCCTTTACTGCAGGTGTCTTCATGGCGGGGGCCAGCGGAGGGTGCTGTTGTTACTTTTCTGTACCGGAGCGTGGTGAAAAAAAGCTGAGAGTAACGTTATACAGGGAGAAGTACAGTGTGCCAGCGGGGGGTCCTGCGGTTCCCCTCCCAGCACGGCGGGGGCAAACTCCCACCCACCACAGCCTCGAAGAGCTACGAAGTGATTATGAAATGGCTGACAGTGAGCACCATCTCCAGTCTGAAAGACAGGGTGTGTTAAGCGG